CTCCTCCTCGGCCTCCTCCTCGGCCTCCTCCTCAACTTCCTCCTCAGCCTCCTCCTCCTCGGCCTCCTCCTCAACTTCCTCCTCAGCCTCCTCCCCGACCTCCTCCTCCTCGGCCTCCTCCTCAGCCTCCTCCTCCTCGGCCTCCTCCTCGGTCTCCTCCTCGGCCTCCTCCTCGGTCTCCTCCTCGACCTCCTCCTCGGCGTCCTCTCTCCCCCCCACCTTCCTTGCTCCCCTGACATGAAAACCCACAAGAGAACACAGGAGAGAGGAAAAGCAAGGGAAGCTACCTCTTAAGGAGGGGAGTCGAGTCGGTGGTCCCTGATCCCCAGAGTGCAATTTGGGAGTATCAAGCAGGACTAACTCCTCTGTCACCTGTCACCAGGGCCAGAAAATTCTCATTTAGAGTTGTTTCTGTGGGGGCCCAAAAGTCCCCCTTTGAGAAGGAAACATTGGGCAGCAGGGCTGGCTTTGCGGCAGTCAAAACCAGCCCCGCACTCAGCTCTGCTGAGCCATTTTAAGATTCAGAGCCTGCAAATTACATAGCTGGGCTGGGGGCAGGGAGCGGAAGGGTGGGCTGACAGCTCAGACCATGCAATCCACCCTAGGTGAACCACTGTGCAGTATATGCATGTGCTGAATCGACCACTGCACCCCACAGATATGTATAGGTAAATGTTAGCAAACAAACAAACAAACGAAAAGTTATGTAGCCGGTTCTGTAGGTCGCAGAGAGCAAAGTCCCTCAGGAACAGGATGNCGGCCTCCTCCTCGGCCTCCTCCTCAACTTCCTCCTCAGCCTCCTCCTCGGCCTCCTTTTTGGCCTCCTCCCCGACCTCCTCCTCCTCGACTTCCTCCTCAGTCTCCTCCTCAGTCTCCTCCTCGGTCTCCTCCTTGGCCTCCTCCTCGGCCTCCTCCTCAGTCTCCTCCTCGGCCTCCTCCTCGGCCTCCTCCTCGGTCTCCTCCTCGACCTCCTCCTCAGTCTCCTCCTCGGCCTCCTCCTCAGCCTCCTCCTCGGCCTCCTCCTCAGCTTCCTCTCTCCCCCCCACCTTCCTTGCTCCCCTGACGTGAAAACCCACAAGAGAACACAGGAGAGAGGAAAAGCAAGGGAAGCTACCTCTTAAGGAGGGGAGTCGAGTCGGTGGTCCCTGATCCCCAGAGTGCAATTTGGGAGTATCAAGCAGGACTAACTCCTCTGTCACCTGTCACCAGGGCCAGAAAATTCTCATTTAGAGTTGTTTCTGTGGGGGCCCAAAAGTCCCCCTTTGAGAAGGAAACATTGGGCAGCGGGGGCTGGCTTCACGGCAGTCAAAACCAGCCCCGCACTCAGCTCTGCTGAGCCATTTTAAGATTCGGAGCCTGCAAATTACATAGCTGGGCTGGGGGCAGGGGGTAGGGAGCGGAAGGGTGGGCTGACAGCTCAGACCATGCAATCCACCCTAGGTGAACCACTGTGCAGTATATGCATGTGCTGAATCGACCACTGCACCCCACAAATATGTATAGGTAAATGTTAGCAAACAAACAAACAAACGAAAAGTTACGTAGCTGGTTCTGCAGGCCGCAGAGAGCAAAGTCCCTCAGGAACAGGATGAGGACAGAGCAGGTCTGGAGGAGCTGGCTGGGTAGGGGGCCGGTGAGGGCTGACAGGCCAGCCTGAGAGCGAGGTCTAGCTTCACTGGCTTTGCTGGGACCACCGAGCAGAGGCCACAGCTAGTGGCAGCTCAGGAAACTGCCTGAGGCCCGGCCAAACCATTTCATGCCTCTTCCGACCAGTCCTTCCCAAGTCAGCAAAGCCAAGGGAGCACAGATCTGAGTTTCCAGGTCTCACCGTGCCCCAAAAGGGACAGCAGAGGTACCCTCTGCCCCAGCTCTTAGCATGCACAGGACCATGACAAAGCTCATCTCCAGTTATGAGTTCTGTCCATCCGTCGGACCCTGGGCTCGTCCTCCGGCTACAAATCCTTGCACAGTGGCCAGAGCCATATCAAGGGTCTAAGGAAACTGCTGCCATTTGCCGGTGCCTCCAGCCACGGGAAACTGGAACTGGGAGCCCCCGCTTCCCCAGGGCTGATCCTACTCCAGAGGGACCACACTAGAGAGACCACAGGAGAGCAGAGAAGTCTCTCCCCACCCCATTCCCAGCAGAAGCCCTGCTCCCTCCTCAGGGAAAACCAGTGCTTTATGCAGCGAGTTGGCTTGAAGTGAGGCCTTCCTCAGAGCCAAGGCCTGAGTCCCGTCTGCATCTCCGTGTCATGTCCAGGTCCTTGCCCAAAGTAAGCCCTGGAAGGAACGAAGGGAAGGAGGGAAGGAAGGGATGACCTAGGCACGACTGTTCAGAATGGGGCCTCAGAGACCTTTCTGTCTTCTAATCGCCCCCAAAACAGCCCGTCACAGTCCACCAATATTGTCTCATTTCTTAGAGGCCTTTTGGGCTTGAGAAGGGCTAATAAAATTCAACTGTCACTGGACATGTGATTCTATGAGCTTTCTCCCAGGCAGATGGCAGATAAAGGGTGTGTGCTTAGAGACTGGTGATGGCAGTAGGAAGGCAGAGGGTGTTGGCAATGACACACACAGCGGCTGCTGAGGGTGGGCCCCGAGCAGGACCTTACCAGTGGCCGGAGGTGGCAGAGGCCCTGGGCGGTGACCGAGCTGCTGCATCTTGTGGCAACAGAGCAGACAGAGGCTGCTCCAAGTGGCTTCGGCGCTGCTGCTTGCTGAGTCCTGCCTCTCCTGAGCTCCCTACTGTGCTGAGCCCTGATCCCTCCTCGATACCCAGATACCCAGGCAATCAAAGGGCAGGGCCTCCCCTCACAGAGGGGAAGGGCGTGCTGCTGCAGAGTGTCAGGGCCCTGCCTCCCAGCCCCTGCCTGTGCATGCAGTGTCCGCCCTGCCTGGTCCTCTGAGCACCCTGCTAGGCTGTGCTGAAATACGCCTCCTGCCACACCCTCCTGCAGAAGCGGGGGGCTCTCGGACACTCATTGCACAGCCCCTCCTGCCCCAGGATGTGACCTTAGTAAGAGGGCCTGTTGGAAAGAGGATTAGGTGTCACAGTGAGTTCCCATCATGTGGCTGGTATTATCAGTAGTTTTCATCATAATTCAGAACTGGCAGCTCACAACAGTGTCCTGTCACTTGCTACAGCTGCCCCAGGATCAGCTGACCAGTGGCAGGCTCCCCACGCCCACAACCATGCTCAGGCCTCCAGACCTGCCTAGAAGAGAAAGGGAGACCCCCACCCCCAGAAGAGGGGAGCAGGCACTGTGGTCAGGGAAGGCCTCAGGAGGGAGGCCGTGCCTAATGGAACAGGGGCAGAGGCAGAGAGGGCGGCCAGAGCGTCTCTCTCCTCCTCAAGCAGCCACCTCTGCTGCCCTGCCGGGCACTCCCTAACAGCCTGGACATTTCCCTGTATCTGCCCTAAAAGCAGCAAAAAGCATTTTCCTGGGAATTCTAGGGACCAAGGTGGTCTTAACTGCCCCAGAATTCCCTGGTAGACCTGGTAGTGAGGATAACGAATCCCAGATCCTCTCCACCCCTGCTGCTCCCGGGCACTCTGCTCCCCTCCAGTGTCTCCTGCTTAGAATCTCCACTTGCAATGACCCTGAGCATGAGGGACCACTCAGCCTGAGGAACCCCTTTGACACTTCACAGCATTCTCCCTTGGGAGGGGGGGGGAGGGGGATGTCTCATCTCAGGACTGGATGGGGCTGCTGCCCTCACAAGCAAGGACAGTGCTGCAGGGGGTGTCTCCTGGGGAGAAGCGTGGAGGCTTGAGCTCCAGTGCATCCGCTCATTCATTTGTGCATCATTCACTTGGCTGCACATCTGCTGGGCACATGATATAGGCCAAGTGCTTGCCGGGGACTGAGGACACAGAGGTAGGAGGAGGCACATCAACCTCACTGCACTCACAGCCTGAAGTGGGGCAGGGGGTCCACGTCCCTAACCTCAAGGAGCTTACACTCTCAGAAGCTGCTGGGAGAGGAGGCAGCACCCAGACGGCACCTGAGCCTGAAGATGGGAAGAGCATGCCTGGAGAAAGGGGGGGTGGGCACTGGAGAAAGGGGGGGTGGGCACTGGAGACAGGAGAAGCAGCACAGGCAAAGGCCTAGAACCTTCCAGAGGTTCAGAAGACCTAGGAGAGTGAAGGTTCT